GGTAAACCTTAAGAAAATAAGGAAACTTTGGAACAATCTAATTAGTTATTATCTAAGTATATAGAGTTTAAGGCTTTCGTGGTTATTCAATAATGATTATAACTGCTCTCTAGAGGACAACTCCACATAGTAGAGTCAATCCTTGACCACGGAGCGTGGAACTGTTCAGAAATAAAGGGAAAATAAAAGTAACCTGTAATTAGTGATAATCATTTAACCTAATTACTTATTTGACAGTTATTAGTCACAAATTAGAAATCTATTCTTCAAACGAAGGACTAGTTTTCTATTTTGTATTGCTTCTAAAGCTAAAAGTGGTTACTGGTTGAGAAATAGCATCTTCATAGTAACAATATACGAAATGGAAGTTTCTTAAGTTTTAATTTTAACCCTTCACCACTTAGAAATGGCAGAACAGACGAAACTAAATGCAGGTTTATAGAAGATTTTTCGAAAATCGAACAACGACCGATGCAGTGTCAAACGGGTGGAGTGAACCGAGGACCATGTCAAGGGTACCTTGGTACTCTTGATTACGGGTAGCAGTCCCACACGTCATGATCTCTATTGAGAAAGCCTATGCTCTGCGGTGTACAATTCAATTGCTTGTAACATTTAGTAGCAGTAGAGCTCCTTGTGAAAGAGTTCGTCCAGGAAAGTACTGCCATCTTACATATTTCTGCCGCCAAGCAGTAATGTCAGCATTACTCTGTTCCGGTTTTGAAAGGTAAGGGCGCATTTATTCGACACGAATAAAGTCAACAACATCCGATGCCTGCCTGCCGGCGGACGAGACTGGTTTAGTTATATACGTAGGTATTTATAGTTGGTAACCCACCAGAACACAAATATTGTTATACCAACTAGAAACACTCTGAGTGGAAAATCCTTTTGGCCCCAAATTTGATCGAAGAAGTAAAAAAAGTCGAATAAGTCTTAAAGTTGAATATGCAATTTTAAAGAAAGTTTATGGACCTGACCTTTACCTAAATCAGAAAATATATACCAAAATAATATACCAAATAAGCTCTATAATAGTCTTAGTTAACAATTTATTCGTTCTTAATTACTGTCATCACACTGACCAAATTACCGATTGTAAGGAACTCCTAAGTAACTTATAAGTAAGTCATTACTTAACTTAGCTTTCTGACGAATCACAAAATCGGTGCGTGTATCGTAAAAATATATACTACATACATTTTAATACGAAACAACTTATTCTCTGTAATAATACAACAGAAAAAAACAATATAATAATAACAATAACGCACAGACTCAACATAGCCAACATAGCAACATAGCAACTAGGGAAACCCTGTGTCGCGGGTGCCATGGACACACACATAGACAACCACAAATTACACCCAAACTCACGAGAGAAATAAATGTAGGCCATACAAATATTTCTTCCAGTCCGGGAATCGAACCTGGGACCTCTGCATGGCAGTCCGTTATAGTAACCGTTCGGCCACTGAGGCAGTTATATATGAAACGAGCCTTTGCCCCACCTATGGTGGGGTCAGGCTCGGCCTGCGGCGCGTGGTCGGTTTCAATTTACGGTATGTGCTCATGCTCTTCGGTGGCAAATCAGTACTATGGGCGCTTGATGAGAAGGTCGATTCCCGATTTAAGAAACGAACATTTCTAAGTTGGTTTTGGTCTGAGTATTCTGGGTTACCGTTGATTTGATATTCATAGTACCTACATAGTACAGGAAATTCGGCAGTAGTTTGGCATTTTTTCCCCTTAAGTACTTCTCTTTCGCATAGCTTTCAAGAAAATGAAATCTAACATAGAGACGGTTGAGATACAACAACGCTATAATAAGTATCTCCTTTCCACTACATCGGGAAGCATGCTTTACATTTTTACAATTGTGAGATCTTGTACTCGTAATCTGTTACGTCTCCGAATATTATCTTCATTTGATGGCGTGCGGACGCTTCGAGCTTCGCCCTCCGCGGAACTCGGCCTACGACCTCGGCACTTATGGCTTTGTTTTAAAAAAATTGAAATAGCTCTTTAATGGCGGCCATATTTAAAAATTGCAAAAATATATTTTGACCACTAATTGTTATCAAACAATCTTAGAAATCTTTTCGTGCCAATTTTCAGTCCGTACAAAGCAAGTTTTTTCAATAGCAATTTACATAAAAAATTACGGCTATATCGAAAAACGGCAGAAACAAAATGTTTACCCCAAATTGTGATTGAAGCCATGCCATTTTTGTCGAGTTAGAAGAAATTTTTATCTATTGCCAAAAAAATTTGTATGGCAGCCATATTGAAAAATGGCAAAAAATAAATTTTGACCGCTAAATATTATTAAACACCTATAGAGATCCCCACATATCGATTTTCATTTGAATTAGAGCTAATTTTTATTAGTTGTCAAATGGCGGCCATATTAAAAAATGGCGTAAAACCATTTTTTTGATCACAAATTATTATCAAGCATTCCTATAGACCCACACATGCCAATTTTCAAAGGGTTCAGAGCATTATTTTTTCTGTCGCCAACAAACGCTTCTATGGCGGCCATATTTGAAAATGGTGAAAAACCAATTTTGACCACAAATTATTATCCGGCACTTCTAGAGGCCTCCGCGTACCAATTTTCAGCCGAACCAGAGCAAGACCGTTTCGGCAGCCACTTTTGACGAAAAAAACTCTTATATGACAACCATATTAAAAAATGGCGAAAAGAAACTTTTGACCCCAAATTATGGTTAAGGACTCCTAAAGACCCCCGCATACCAATTTTCAGCCGGATCGAAGCAAGATTTTCTTCGGCCGCCATTTTGAATTCGCCATATTGTTTTTTTTAACCCAGGTAACCACTATTAACCTCTATGACATTCCTTCGAGCACCTCCTACCTATCTCTAATAGTTTCCGTGATAGGAGACTTTATAGTTACTTTATATTATATTTTATAGCTTTTGCAGGCCGTTGATCACTCTTTCATATTTTCTTCATTTAGGTCTCCTCATATTTGATTCTTTGCTTTGGAATCTATCCGCGTACAACGGTATAAATATATTTTTTCCACCATATCGGGAAGTATGCGTTCTATTTCTATCAGTGAGTAAGAACTTGTAGTTTTATATATATAATAATAACAAAAAAAATACATTTCAAATTTACTAAAGTTGACTCTGAACTTTATTGTTCGTTATTGAAAACTAGTTTAAACCCCAGAACATAAAAGTATGTAGAAACAAATTACAATATTTAAGGTGAAATCAAAGTAAAATAACTCTTTACAGTACATACTATTATTGATTTTTTATTACAAAGTGCTTCTGAAGGCCATTGCGCTTAGTTTAAAATATACAACTACTTATAAAGAAAATAGGCTCAAGTTATTTATCCAAACAAGCGGGGCCCACGGCAACCAGCAGACGCAGACGGCGCGGAACGGCGAATTTAATGCCCGGCAGCACACATTGAAGAGGGATATCCCCTACGATACCTCGAGAGCGTTCGCCAGCTTACCGCTGAGTCCGCTGGAATGCCGCGGCATCCACTGACGTGCCGCCGATCACTCGGATTCTGCTTCCCTAGCGACTACGCAGTAGAAAAGGCATATTCCGGCCCACACTGGTGAATTCCGGCGCATACCGGCAGATTCCGACGCATGCCGGTCGATTCTCAAGCGTGCTCCTCAATACCGCAGAGAGAAATGCGCTGCCAAACTCCGAAGTCTGTCCCAGAGCAATGAAGTTTATACCTTATTTCAATTGAAAAAGCATAAAATATATATTGATTAATTTAATGTCCACCGTATTTCCCTCCGGCGGTTTGCACTAGCACATAATCATTACACAAGTTACAAGACCTCTATTACATTGTACCTAATACATCGATTACCTATATATATAATATCGATTTACTATCGATACAAAGGCAATTTATAACTTTACCTTTTCCACAGTGGTTGGTGGCATAATACAAGTCAATTACCGACAAGCCAATTGGTCTAGGAAAAGAATTTTTCTAAATAGGTTTTGGTGTGCGTCTTTTATGTTACAGGGATATCCATAGCCGGCGACTAAATATCTAATCAATGAGATTGTCTGGCACAATATTATTATTGTATCATGAGTAGGTAAGTAAATTACGTGTACACTTTAAAGAACGCGATTGCCTTCTATATACATATAGAATGATCCCAATCCGCATTGTGCCACCGTGGCGTAATATGTTTTCCTTAAAGGACACCCGGTCACAGCACTGTAACGTATAAACCCGATACTTCTACATCGCAATGCTGGTGATGTCAATTACAACACCTTTGAAAAGGCAGGGAGACAGTCCGTTAAAATAATAAGCAATAGACTCGACGAGTTGCTGTATTTCTTTAAATAATATTATGACAGTAAAAGAATAAAATAATTTAATAATTAGTTTAATAATAATTGTACAACTTGAAATCTGCTCTCTTTATCATAACTAACGTACCTAATCGATATTTTTTGGCGAAATCGAGTTATTAACATATCGTCTTCGGGGATAGTGCAAATCCGCGTACGTAGTATTAGTAAATGGCGCGTATCTGCACTAAACCAAATTTTATAGGACTAAATAACAATAGATTCCCGTAATCACGCTAATTTGTTGGCCACGATATTTACGCGGATTTCATTTGGCCACTAAATTACCGAAATGGAAACTCATAATCCAATGCTAGTTACGCGTAATTGCACTATCCCCGGCGATATCTGGGATCACCGAAACGAGATCTACAACACTCTCTAACCAGTTTTTGAAATTTTATTTGGTTTCAGTTTTAATTGTTAAGCTAAATCAGCGTCTAATTGACTTTTTTACAAGCAAAAAAAAAAAACTTTTGATGCCAATATCTCGAAAGTTACCGAAATGCAAATGCGTTAGTTATGACGAGGGCAGAAATGCTGCTGGCTTAAGTATTAACATTTTCCATCAATGTTTGTTGTAAATTAGAGTCTTAAAATTCCACAACATGGCGAAGGTATATTTAATTTGTCAATATTTATTCAATTGTAATATTAAGATAAGTCGAAAGTTGTAGAGCATGGTACCTACTAAACGCTCTGTAAAGGGTAAGTCATCTTCTTTCGGATAGTGCCAACAAAGGGCGTGTCATAGGAGTCGAAATATCGTCGCACGCGCCTGTCGCCTCGACCCTGCTGGAAAACAGCGCTCTGCAACTCATCTACCAACTCCAGGCTGCTTACGCTGATAGAAACTTCGTGCGTGAAGCCGAGGAATGACGAACGCTCGGAATCAATCACGTCTGATGACTGGAAAAAATCCAAAGAATACAGTAATTTACAAATAAAATTCACTGACACTGCGCGTGTTATCTTCTATTTAATCTTTAAAAATCAAATAAATAAATATTAAACGCACACACTCAACATAGCCCCGCACTAGGGAAACCCTGTGTCGCGGATGCCATGGACACACACATAGACAACCACAAATTACACCCACTCACGAGAGAAATAAATGTAGGCCATACAAACATTTCTCCCGGCCCGGGAATCGAACCTGGGACCTCTGCGTGGCAGTCCGGCATGGTAACCGTTCGGCCACGGAGGCAGTTTAATATGGACAGTACGGATTTTTTTTTACTTTTAACTACATCCCCTGATATTAACGTTTGATGATGTTTCTGATTTTATGGTTCATCTATATCGAATAATTTGCAACAGATACTTATCGGCTGTTTAGGTCGTTCCATGACCTTATAAGCTAGTGTTACAACTCTAGGGAAATGCGCTGGGAAACGCACAAAAGTACCATTGTTTAGTAAAACAAATATGGTAACTCCATATAAATGCAGCAGCGCGGCTTGTATGTGTGCACGCTCGGCGCGCGTCGTGTATGGACGCACACAATCACGTAATCTCGATGTACACTCCCATTGCATACTACGGGTCGTCTCACGCCCCATTCATTGTAGAGGTAGTCTCTCGGTGTTTAAAAAATGTCATCAAATAGTAAATTGTTGTAAAACGCTTGTGAAAAGCGATGTAATTCATTAACAATCCACTGTTATTTAAATTTTAAAAGACTCTGAAGGACCCAAACAATGTTTAACAAATTACCCGACAAAAACCGTAAAACCAGAAAAAAACAGCATCAAAAAAGAAACATATGTAATTAATAAAGGCCTATATTTTTCATTTCAATGTTTGATTACAAATGCAGAAATTAAAACGTAGAATCTGAATGTTCCAATGCCTCATATTTTCATTCGTAACCCTAAAGATAACATAAGTCGAAATAAAAAAGTTAAGAAATATAAATCCTATACTTACCACATAAGAAAGGAAACAAATCATGAGAATTACACATTTCCTCTGTACCAAATACATACTTTAGTAAACTACATTATTCGCAATGAGTAATAGGCAATTGTATTCGTTTTACATAACAATATGAAACATTGTTTATTCAACTACTAGTTTATCGTGGAAACTTTAAATCCGTTCGAACTTTTCAGATAAAACTGTCGTAAAAATTGTGAAATATCGAAATAAATACTGGTGAGCGCTGGTACTCAAAGAACATGGTCTTAAAAAAATTTATTACTTCTTTTATTTATAAAAATACTGCCATTTTGATAACAATTTTAATGTAAATGTTACAAAACAATGTTATTTAAATGTACATATCTTACAGGCAATATTACTTACCAAATTCCATTAAAATATTTAATATACTTGCAAGTGTTTACCTAAAAAACTATGCTATAGCAGCATAAAATATTTACCAAGTTGACAAAATGCTTTTTTCGCAACAAAATGAAAAATGCAAATTTCTTACTGTGCATACCATTGCCAATAATATTTATATGTAATGAACATGTCTAAAGTCAATGTCTTGCAAAAGTATAGACCGAATATCGACACTACTGCTAGTAGCAGTAGAGCTCCACGTGAAAGAGTTCGTCCAGGGCAGTACTGCCACCTTACCTATTTCTGCCGCCAAGCAGTAATGTCAGCATTACAGCGATCCGGTTTTAAAGGGTGAGGGTGCTGGTGAAATTACAGGCATATGGGACATGTCTCAGAGCGACATTGGCAGTGCCACTCAGATGTGTTATTTAAATCTCAGATTGGCACTGCAACTGTCATGGACAGGCGTGTCGCTTACCACGAGGCGCACGACTCATTCGAATCGTCACTTGACGTCATATAAAACAACTGTCACGTATATTTCAATATTAAACATATTCAAGCCAGCCGCCTACAATGACAACATAAAATTACAAATGTCATAAGTTGACCATGCGGACTTTCGGTTACGGCATAACACGGTGTAAAGTCACCAGGCAATTTAAAAACAGTCACTGTCAATACATTGGTCCTTTCTCTGTTTAACTAAAGTAACTACAACTAAGCTTCAATTTGTACTAATGTGTTGGCGTATTGGAATTCTGGGCTATTCTCGTAATCAGACATGTCTAATGCGACCTCGCAACTCTCTCGTACAACGGGACGCGGATCATTTAAATACCTGTAATGCAAAAAAAAAAGTAATACAACGTCAGAGAAATACAAATAAATCTTTTAAAAGCAGAAGTGAGAAACCGGCTGTCATTGGCACATCCACAGATAGAAAGGATGGAATTTCTACCTAGAAGATGGCCCCCGCATCGAGGCAAACCTGGACAGCGTGATACAAGATTCATAATAGAATTATGTGGAGAAAAATAATAATAATAATGATGATGCATCGGACAACCACGTCAATTAACTGGTCTCAAACTAAGAAATTCCCTGTACTACGATTGCAGCAACTTGAATCCCTGTACAACAACTTGAGATTGAGCAACGGAATTCACTCTGGGGCGCTACCCAAAACACCCAAACCAAAACCAATTTAAAAAGTTTATTCCCAAATTGGTCCTACCGGAAATCGAACCCAGAACCCAGAGTGTAAACTGTTAGACCAATGGGGTGATCAAACTGGTTGCGGCTTTTATTAAAGTTAAGTTGTTATGTACAAATAAATAAACATAAATAAATATTTAAACCACATCAAACTATTATAAAATACTGTCAAATATATTTCTATTAGACAGCCAACATTAAACACCAACAACTAAAATTGTTTTGCTGAACGTAACAATATGTAATACATATTAAAAAAAATTGCCAAGGACTGTGGCCAAAACATAGTAAATATGTAGAAGAACATTTGAACAAAAGTTATCAACATATTTATATTTTAGTTTTTCCTTGCCAAGCTTTCCTTTAATTGTGTAATATAATTAAACGAATATCAAAACTAAATTTTGATTTTCATATTTTAATTTTAATTTTTATATTAACATGAAATCAAATTAATGAATGAAGAAATGAAATATTCTTTATTGCACATCAAAATTACAGTGGCCTCTCAGATTAGTAAATATAAAATAAGCTAATGTACAATATGCCTGGACAGTTTTCTTTGTTGCACATCCACATATTCAAGTAAATAAATGTAAATTATTATTATACACAGGTGTAGGTGGGACCCCAAAAAAGGTGTGGTACATACGGCATGTAACCCAGTGTCAGCTACAAGTTGAATGTGGGATAACACTTCTACCTATCAAGCCGAAATGTACGCCATAATTGCAGGCATGAATCTAAGGAGGGCTTACGTTAATCAATACATTTACACAAACTCTGATAGTCAATTGGCTCTACATGGACTAGTCTCAGTCACTCAAACATCGAAAATTGTGGAGAACTATACTAAACACTCTCAAGGAAACAAATAAAGTGGTCATGCATTGAATTCCAGGACACCCTGGGTAACTCAAAGGCAATAAAACAGCAGACATGCTGGCAAAGGCCTTGATTAGTCCTGCACCTTCATAGGGAGAGCAGTTTAGGGAAGCTCATTCTGCTGAACCAAAGTACACACCCGTTTAGCAGCAGACCAATGGTCTTGAGCACTCAAGTCAGGACTTGTGTTTAATCAGGATTAATGTCCACAGTGCTAACCAACATGGCTGGCTGCCCTTTGATGGGAATATGAATCTCCATATTGAGAAAGCACATGCCACAACCAGGGGACATCAATAATCCTTCAGTTTTTTAACAAGGTTGGCCTTGGCTCAATAGATATAGTATAATAGATATATAATAGATCAATTTATGGTCACAGTGATAAAGAACTGCACAGATTCAGAATGAAGCCACCCTAATAATAATAATAATATGTACGTACATTATACTATAACTCACCTCTTCAAGACCTCAGTGCATTCATCAGTGGCAATAGAGCCTAATGCCTCAGCAGCCTCATGTCGCACCATTTCATGTTCAGAAGTATCCTCCAAGGCCTTCTTCAGGAAGGGTACACTACGTTCATCCTGCATCTGACCAAACACAAATGCAACTTCATGCCTGAAGAGTGCACTGCCTGCCTTGAACCCTGAAATGTTTTGCATAATCCTTGATAACACATATAACTGAAAACTGCAGTATTGACTATTACTCCACAGAAAGGAGTACATTTTTGTTATACCAACCAATATGACTTCATAAATTTTGACTGAAAGTCATGAAATTTATATAATACTAAAGGTCCTTGTACAGGGTGTCCCAAAAATAACACGCCAGAGCGACACTGTGGGTAGGTGAGCTAAATACCTACCAGAAAAAAATATTCTGACCCTAGTAAAAGTCTTTTAGTTTTCGAGATATAGGCCCTTTTTTATTTTTTTGTAAAAACTACTCTTTGTTGGGTTTTATGCTATTATTGCCATGGTTAGCTCCAGATGGTTGGGATTTTTATTTTTCGAGTATTCTGAATAGTTTTTCCAGGTACAACAACTAATATTTTACTGAGAAATATCAAAAACTATGAAAAAAGTGATTAATTTGGTATACCTCGTACCCTTGTAAAAAGTTAAACATTCACTTTGAATAGCTAGTGTGAAAAAAAATTGTATGAAACTGAATTTATAAACGATCTTAAAAACTACTCCACTTAATGCAGAATCAGGAATTGTACAATACTATTGAAATTTTTGACAAGAACTTAGTCATTTAATTTTTTTTCGACATCAACACCCTACTAGCCGAATTGGTTTCTAAACAAAAATTGTGTTAAATTATTGAGCTTTATGACTAACTACTCTGTCGCTAGGCCCCAGGTAGTAAAAAATGAGCGAGAGGTATGACCCTTATTTGTTATCTCTCTCTTACGTCAATAATATTGTACCATTCCTGATTCTGCATTAAGTGGAGCAATTTTTAAGATCATTTGCAAATTCAGTTTCATACATTTTTTTTTTCACACTAGCTATTCAAAGTTAACATTTAACTTTTTACAAGTGTACGAGGTATACCAAATTAATAACTTTTTTCACATTTTATGACATTTATCAAATAAAATATTAGTTGCAGTACCTGGAAAAACTGAATAGTTTTTCCAGGTAAGGTTTTTATTTTTCTGGTAACCTGAATAGGTTACCTGAAAAATAAAAACAACTACCATCTGGAGCTAACCCTGGCAATAGTAGCAAAAAACTCAAGAAAAAGTGGAGTTATTCCAAAAAAATAAAAAAGTGCAAATATCTCGAAAACTAAAAGACTTTTACTAAGGTCAAATTATTTTTTTCTGGTAGGTATATAATTCAAAATTCAAAATTCAAAATAATCTTTATTTCATAGGTAAGCATTATTACACTTGACATTGTCACAATAGTTAAACTCTACCGCTCATTCGTAAGGCAGATTCCCCTGAGAAGAATGAGCAAGAAACTCTAGGGGTTGCTCTTTGTAAATAACATTTACAATATTTGTTTTATTTGTAACATCAGAGATCGAGACTACCTCCATGAGCTAAACGGGTTACTACCACGGATTTTTGTCATCCAAGTACGCAGAAGTTGTATAATATAAAGTTTTACCTTTAGTATAAAGTTTTTGTTTCACTATAGTTTTAAACCTCGTGAAAGGCAAATTTTGTATATCAACCGGAATCTTGTTATAGAAGCGTATACATTGCCCCTTAAGTGATTTTTTGACTTTGTGAAGACGACTATCAAGAAAAGCTAGTTTATTTCTATTCCTCGTATTAATGTTATGTCTGTCACTATTTTTCATAAATAAATTACTATTCCTTTTAACATAAATTACATTTTCATAAATGTACTGTGAGGCTAGTGTAAGAATGTTAATTTCCTTAAACTTATCTCTCAAAGATACTTTGGGGCCCAGATTGTAAATTGCCCTAACTGCACGTTTCTGCAGGACAAAGATTCTATTGATATCGGCGGCATTACCCCAAAGCAAAATGCCTTATGTCATTAGACTGTGAAAGTAGCTGAAATAAACCAATGTAGCGGTTTTGACGTCTGAAAGTTTCCTTATTTTTTTAATCGCGTACACTGCAGAGCCGAGCCATTTTGATAACTCACTTATATGGGGACCCCATTGCAATTTAGCATCTAACGTTATACCTAGAAATACAACTGTATCCACAAGATTCAATTTTTCGTTTCCAACTACAATGTTTGTAACCGTCTCTCTAACATAGGGTAATGTAAATTTCACACAATTTGTTTTTTTCTCGTTAGGAAGTAGGTTATTAACAGCAAACCAATCAACTACTTTAGATATAGCATTGTTCACATCGTCATAGGAACATTGGTGCCTTTTAACTTTAAATAATAAGGAAGTATCATCAGCAAACAATACTATCTCATGTTTTATACCCTCCATAAGGCTAGGTAAGTCATTAATATAAACTAAAAATAAAAATAGCTCACCTACCCATAGTGTCGCTCTGGCGTGTTATTTTTGGGACACCCTGTATACTCATGTCATTGTATCCAAGTGTTCCAAATTTAAAACAAACATATTTTGAACACTACTTTAATTTACATTGTTACTAACACTCCGATAGTCCAAAATAATTTATAATGTAGGAAATGAAACTATTTTTTTTATCTAAATGGCACAAAAATGTTTTTTTACACAAACTAACATTGTTTCAGGTCCCATGGTCATTGTTGACTGTCAAATTATGACCTGTTAAGGGCCCGATTTAAATCAGAAAATTAGTTTCAGATCTTACTACAATAGTAAAAACCTAAGAACTTGATAAATTATTATAATTTAAAAAAAACATTCATTGATTGTTTTTATACTAACTGTTCAACGCTTTTCACTCATTCTATTTAAAACCATATGGCCCAGGTTTTTCATTATTTTTTTCATTTCATTAACAAAGTATTGAAGTTTTTTACAAATCATTATTACACTCACCTTCACCCAAAGCAATAACACTCTCAGTAGTACCCAAATTCCGTAAACTGAACATAGCCCTGTACCTATCAAACAGTGGTATATTTTCATCCATCAGTATCTTACTCAGCTGTTGAATATCATTCTCAACACTTGGTGGTGCAGGATCTACAGAAGTATATAAACTTTTTGATAAATCTTCTTTGACGTCATTGGCTACCCAATTCAGTCTCTCTAATGCAATTTGGCAGGTCTCCGCCACTTCTATGGCTGGGTCATGTTGGTACTTTTCCAATAGCTCCCTAAGATGAGGATCACCTATAGCACCTAGGGCTTCTCCTGAAATAATATCAAAAATAAAATTAAACATGATATAAATAAAGTGCATAAAAATCACAAAGTAATGATAAGGTTCAAAAAATAGGAAAGACACGCATAAATAAGATAACAAGTCTTTAATTTGATCTAACCCACAGGGAAGACAATATTAATTATAGAGGCTATGTAGGGGCTTGACCTTATTGTATGGTGGATAATATGTTACTGCATACTACTGTATGCAGTAACATATCAATATATCATAAGCTCATATCATAAGCATCGTCTACAAAAGATGTAAAGGCAAAAAGATGTAAACACTCAAAGCAAATCCCAAAATGATTTCTGATTTTATTCAGCGTAACAAGTAGTTCAATTAAAACTTTATCATATTTTATTAATTATAACAGTTACACTTTCTAAGGCGACTTCAAACAATAAATCTCAACAATAGTGTATCATATACGTGCAAACACAATCAAATATTGTCCACAATTTCAATCACACTTACCCGCCTCGTGTCGCACTATAGGATCCTGCTTTTCGTCCTGCAAGACATTCCTGAGGATCGGAATGGCCTTTTTATCCTGCATTTGACCCAAACAATAAGCTAACTCATGCTTTAAAAGCACTGATTCATCTGTAAAACATTCGCTAATACATTGAATTGCAATCTCACCACCCAAGTTTCGAAGTGTAAACAAAGCTCTAAACCGCTCTTTCATAGGTCTTGATGGGTCATTTAACACTTTTCCAATATTGTTCACGGCGTTTTCATTAACTTTTGCCATTTGGAGAAATTTAAAATGTATGAATAACGTGTTTACGAAAAGAAGGAAACTAGCCACACGCACACCATACCACAGCAAATGTGTTTGTTGACTTGTCATTTGTCAATGTCAAGCTGACAGCTTATGTCAATGTGTTTTAGTTTGGATACACAGTTAATTCTTTTCACATAACGCATTACAAGAACAGAAACGTACAATTTTATTTAATATCCTTTACAACTTCAGAAAGCATTTATTTGAGTATCTTGGAAATATTCCATAAAGTAGTACATACCAGATAAGTAATAGGGTTTTCATGTCATACGTTATTCAATGTAATCATCACCCATAAGGTGATACAGTTATACAGTGATACATTTACTTAAAGGTAAGGTAGGTAGGTAGGTATTGTCTAAAATGTGCCTCAATATACATATTTACAGCAAAAACATTATGATTATTTATTGAGTTTATGCGAGTTCTTAGGTTTTCGCGACTGTTACACATAGGAAATGAAACTATTTTTCCGGATTTTAATCACGTGTATTTGTTTTTTCAAATAAACCATGGTCAACCGTGACCATGGGACCTGTAAAGGGCCCGAAACGTCGGTTTGTTTGAAAAAACAAATATACGTGATTAAAATCCGGAAAATAGTTTCATTTCCTATAAGTTAATACGAGCATATACGTATTAGCACAAATAAGTCAACTATGACCATGGGACGTGTTGGTTTGTTTGAAAACACAAATACCTATACACAATTATTTTAGCAGCAATAGAGCTCCTTGTGAAATAGTTCGTCCAGGGTAGTGCTACCACCTTACGTATTTCTACCGCCAAGCAGTAATGTCAGCATTACTGTATTCCGATTTTGAAGGGTAAGGGTGCAGGTGAAATTACGGCACATGGGACTTGTTAACTTATGTCTCAGGGTGACAATTTGCAATTTAAAGCTCTGAGTAGCATTGTAACTGTTATGGACAGGAGTGTAGCTTACCATCACGCGCGCTACTTGTTCCTCCCGTCACTTGATGTAATAAAAAAAATGTAGAACCAAAAAAATCTATAACTTCCGATGTGGTAGCAATCGTAAAAACCTAAGAACTGGATGTAATATTGTGTGTGTGTGTGTGTGTTATGTATTCATTGTTATTTAGAATAGATTTAATTGTCTTTTTATGCAATTAGCTGATGATTTTACGAGTTATCACCTACTACAATCGGCAATTAAGTAGCTAAAGCCACAAACGGAGATTTTTTGTAACGTGTTCTTAGAATCATACTGCTTATGACGATACGTGTGAAGACATGTGAGAGAGAATCACAATAGATTGATACGGTCCCAAATGGGTACATCCCGTGGGCCGCTTAAATAAACTATCAAAATTATTTCAGGATAATTGTACATATGGTTATTTCATACCGCTAAATTTGCTATATATAAAAATGACAGCTAAACAGACACTGGCACGCAAAACTGCTACTCGGTTGAAAACCAAAATCTTCTGTCCCAAACTCGAAAAAAGAAACATAAAAGTTTCACGGGGACTTGGTTTTTTACTTAGTTAAAAAGTTTAAAAAACGGAAGTGTCAGTTATTCCTTTACTTCATCAACATCATCATCAACGTATGATATGCTCCACTGCTGAACACTTGTCTCCTCAGAGCAGACGCTTTACACCTTAAGGTAGTCTGATAAGCTTGATAATGATTCTTAACTCTGTGAGTGCCGTCGCAGGGATCAGAACTCTCATTTCGTGACTATAATAGTTAATTCGTTCATTTTTAACTATTTCTTTCAACTTGAGTAAAGCAAGAGAGATTTATCAGTGCAACATAGCGATCGGTAGTCTCTGCCTACCCCCACAAAAATTTATTACATAACTCCTCTTTTCTCTCTCTTTTCTCTCTCTTTTCTCCATTCTTCGGTTAAATTAGTAAAGTTATATTATTTACATTTACGTTGAGTTTTTCGAAGACGTATGAAGTTCACAAGACCATATTTTATCGACTGAGGAGAGCTTCACAAGGGACTTCTCATTCAATGTTGAGATAGGCAATATTAACAATCTTCACAGAACAGATTCAAACATTATCGATACGTATTGAGATTGATCAAAAGCAAAGGACGTTTTTGAAACTTTTACACAAATAGACAGTATTAAGGAGTTTGTGGAAAGATTAAGTATTGAGATTCCAAACGCGTGACTATATGTTCTTACATGTATGTATGTATTTGTTCCAAGTCAAACTATGCAACCAAAATTCTATTTATATATGTTTATATTTTCACATACTATTTCTCTTCCTCTTCTTCCACTCTTGGCGATCTTATACCCGACTAATAAAGTCCCGACCTCCGTGTCGTCAGATGTCGTCCAACCAGCGCTGCGGTGGTTTCTTTCAGTGCATTTTATTTAATAATAATAACATATACCTAAATGTATTTTTAGAAGATTAGTACGAATATAATTACATTTTAATTTCAAATGCCACTAATATTATTCATTTATTATTAATGATACAAGGAGTATTTTACAATAATTAAATGCAACATAAGCATAGCTCGATTATTGCGAAAATGAGATTCTTACCAATTCATTTTTCTAAGATCTATCGAGTTCCCAGATTTTCGCGATTGTTGATTTAAATCACGTATATTTGTTTTTTTTTCAAACAGACCTGTATTCTTAGAAATTTTAATTAAGTTAATTGTGCTCGTTGAGATAACGATGTTTGTACCCTAATTAGTTCGAAATATTTAATGCACTGAATTGGGATCATGAACGTCACGTCTACCAAGTGTGTAGTTTAACAAAGAATTTCAGCATAATTATTAATACAACTACCGAACACTCAGAAAAAATTCCTCCGATGCGGCCGTATCCGAACCGACGTCTTCTAGCATACCGTGTCAGACGCTATACCTATACTATGGTATACTATGCTAGAAGACGTCGATTCGAATCCGGCCGGATCGAAGGAATTTATTCTGAGCGTTCGATCTTTGTATTAATAATTATAACAAACTAGTGGAGTAATTTCACATAAAACAATTGAATATCAATTCAATACAAATTTAAAATTTCAGCATATTTTACATGGCCGTAGACGTTCCATTAGCCTCGCTCATGGGTTCGCATAAGGGTAATGTGTCTCCTACCTTTACCTTTACCTGTCTGTACCTTAATATTATACGATGCAATGCCTCTCAAGAAAAACACTTTACCTAATTTATTTATTTATTTTATTTTTGAGGGTACAAACATCTTGTATCACAATGTAATAGAAAGTATATTAAATAATTATAAGCAAAAGCAGTTCCCTTCTTATAAAAATACTATACCAAAATACAGCATTAACGACACTAAACAACTAAATGACATGGTACACACACACATGACACATTATAGAAGCAAAGTAACATTACGCGAACTAGCTCGCTTTAGTAATAAAAAAATAATTAGATAATACTTTCTTAACGTACGCACAGCTTGTTTTAAACAAATCAAAATCGTAAAGTCCAGAAACCTTGTTGAAGTTATTGCTGTCACGCCATATAAACGAATTCCGCTGTATTCTAAATGGACAGGTAAATGAATTAGTGACTCGTTACGTAAATGCTTAGCTGGAACCCTTAAGTGAATCTCAGACAGAAGCTCGTGCATTCGACGATGTTGGTATTATTTTAATGAGATAGTTTATATAGAGTTCTTAGGTTTTCGCGATTGTTACACAGATGGGAAATGAAACTTTTTTTCCGGATTTAAATCGCATATATTTGTTTTTTCAAACAAACCAACGTTTCGGGCCCTTTACAGGTCCCATTGTCACGGTTGACTGAGGTGGTATAGTCATCAACCAGTTATATCTAATATTAATGCAAACCACCTTATTTTTTCCACTATAGTTACAAAAGTTTTCATTAAATACCTTATTTTTAATTTTACAAGGAAACATTCCAATTTACTCTACATTATGTTTTACAAATGATGATTTTTCATTAAGTTAAATTTATTATTAATTAATAATGAATATTAGAAAAATTAAAACATATTAAATTGTGGTTTGCATTAATATTAGACATAACTGGTTGATGACTGTATCACCTCAGTCAACCGTGACTATGGGAGCTGTAAAGAGTCTAAACGTTGGTTTCTTTGAAAAAAACAAATATACGCGATTTAAACCCGGAAACATTGACTTACAAATAAATGGACGACGGGTCTAATACAAAAACCACGAAAAAAATGTCCCAAGTCAACCTATTCGAAATTTAAATTGTAATGTCATCGCAGTATCGCGCTGTCAGTAGAACAAATGAAGACTAAAGCGGAGTGTCGCGCTCTGTATACGATTTTAGCGCCTTAAAAGTGCGGACACTTTTTAGCGCGGACCCGACGTCCATATAATTGTAAGTCAATGCCCGGAAAAATAGTTTCATTTCCTATAAGACAGTTTATATCTACTATGTCACGTCCGCAATTCAAGAGGAATTATGTGGTGTCTTTTAAAGATATCTAAAAGACATTCTTCAAAAGTTAGCCTTAATTTTTTTTTTGTGATACGAAGTGGCGAATGAAGAAGTCGTGTGTCCGGTGGTAAGGGACACACCTGTCCATAGCCATTGCAGTGCAACTCGGAGCTTTATATAGCAACGATTTGAGGGACACTGCCACTGCGCCCGTCACCGTAAGACGTAAGTTGACAAATACCTATTATTTGACCAAAACTTTCCTTAAAGGAGACCCGCGACTAGATGTAGAATCAATTCGTGAAAGTTTTAGTACAATCGGATGAATAGTAATATAACGTACGAACTTAGAAACAAACATTCGATTTTATATACTTAATAGATTCCCTAACCTCTACATTCTATTTCAATATGTATGAATTCGATTCAATTCTCGTGAAGGCACACTATATAATATTAAAGCATGTTATGTGGATCTGTTTCTTCCATTATCAGTGAGAAAAGGACAAAAAATCAAGTTTTAACATACATCTTTGTCCTCAGAACTACAAAAGGCATGCCCTAACTAACCTTTTTTTTCCAAAATTGAGTTTTATACTCATTTGAAATCAGGAAAGACGTCTACATACCTAATATTTTGTAGAATTTTATTTCAATAATCGTTGGATACGCAGTGAACTTAAAAAGCACAACTGAATTCGATTTCTACCATAAAAAGTTTAACTATTATGTGTGGCGCAGTATAACTTTCCGGAATGAATAAGAAAAAATACTACAAATGGTCAGAAATGAATTTATTGTTTCTCAAAATATTCTCCATAAGCGGTAATGCACTTTTTCATACGAATGAACCAATTTTGAAAACATTTATGCCACTCTTCCGTGACAATCACTGAAAAATATTTTTCATATTCTTCGACAGCCTCTTCGGGTGATAAAAATCTTTGACCTGAAACTGGTTCTTAATTTTTGGAAATAAATAAGTCACTGGTGCCAGGTCGGGTCTGTATGCGGGATAACTCATAAGGACAACGTTGTTTACCTTCAAAAATTCATTTGTCTATCTGGTCGTGTGAGAACTTGCATTATCGTGGTGCAAGATGATACGGCGTTTACGGTTATTTTTACGGAGTTTGTCAATGACTTCCGGCAAGCAAATGGTCGTGTACCATTCACTAGTCACGGTACAACGATTCTCCAAAGCAACAGTAGCCACGTGTCCAGTTTTATTAAAAAAAGAAGCAATCATCCGCTTAGAGGCACTTTGCACGCGACACTTTGGTTGGTTTCGGCTCATCTCGAAAGACCCATACACTCGATTGCTGCTTGCTTTGTTTTGGGATCGTAACTATAAATCCATGTTTCATCACCTGTTACTATGTCCCACACGAAATTTGACGCCCCTTCGTTGAATCTGGATAGCATGACATTGCACCAAGACTAAGTGACGCGAACCATTTTTTGAGCCTCAGTCAAATTGTATGGGATCTACCGAGAGCACACCCAAATATTTGTGTAGTATTGATTGCATTTAACTCATGCCTATGCCTAAAGATGCCAGAATCTCATGGTATGTCACATGCCTGTCTGTTTTGATCATATGACGCTCAGCATCGATGTTTTTGTTATTCACAGCAGTGGACGTGCAATCATCACGAAATTCGTTACTGAGATTCACACGACCGCGTTTGAATTCTGCACACCAGCTATAAATAGTCGTCTTGCATGGTGCATCATCGCCAAAGCAGTTTGAAGCCGAGCGAAGCTCCGCTGAGCTGTTACATTACACTTAAAGTCGTAGAAAATCATACTCCGAAAATTTTCACGAGTTAAATCCATGGTGACGTAGATAACTAATTTCTAAAATGACGCCACAATATGAAAACAAGTGACAGTCAGATGAAAGAAACTGTATTCTACAGCCAAAGAGTTCCATTTTCAAATGTTGTAATTACTTTTTAAATATTGTTTATGTAACTGGCCAGTTCCGGAAACTTATAGTGCGCCCTATGTATAATCTGCCCCCGAAACTCAAAAAGACGCAAGTAACATTTACTCTACCTAATTTAATCTACCTAATTTTTGGTTTCGCAACTATTATTGGATATACAGTAAACTCAAAGAGCACTTTGATAAATAAATATTTTGCGTGCTATAAATTATTTCTTTTACCATTATCCTGATTAGAAATATTAATATCAAAGGATTTAATTTAGTAATGTACGGAACTATTATGTACTTCAATTGCAATAATTACTTCTTAAGCAACTCATGAAAAAGCCAAATTATAAATTTATTTAATCCCTTTATTTTTTTATAATTTTCTTCCGTAAATTTAAAGAAAAAATAAGATTTTTTTTCAAAAGCGGCTAATAAAAATACAATGAAAATTTCTGTATAAAACATGTCTTAAGTTTTTTCTATGATAACAACTTTGACGGAACGAATAAGTCGTGGTAAGCGACACGCCTGTACATGACAGTTACAGTGGCGCTCAGAGCTTTAAATTGCATAGCTCTGACGGGCACTACGGTACGCTTGTCACCCTGAGACATAAGTTGGCAAGTCCCATGTGCCTAATTTCACCAGCACCTTTCAAAACTGGAACTCACATTCCTGCTTGGTAGCAGCAATTAGTGCTTCCTGCTGGCAGCACTACTTCCCAGGATAAACTCATTTACAAGGAGCTCTACCGCTACTACTAATATTCAACATAAAGTATGTAATGTAAAATATATTTAAAATATTCTTTTTTTGTTGCTTGTACTTTCCTCCGATGGCAGAGCTGTCAAATTAGTTTAAATTGAACTTGCTTCTTATAAAAAATTATAAGGGAACGTAGAGGTTTGCTAGCATTAAGTGTCAACAAATTTGACAGCCCTATATGTGAGTATTCTATCCTCTTCTTACTTATGTGACCTACAGAAAATATACAGTTTATATTCGTGCGTACACTGCAATATAGTTGAATAGAGCATCACGTATTCAGTGGACACCCGTCGATTGATTAGACAAGTTCATCGGTATATCTTTCGTGTTAAAAGTGTATATTTTTGTCTATATTGTCTTTATTTGTACATACATTTACCTCAACAAACAAAGTAAGTAGGTGTATTTTTTAAATGAAGCTAATAATAAAACAGTTTTATTTGCTCACGTATACGCCTACCTTCTGTAGGAAAATAAACTTTATACATATATAAAATAATAAAAGCTTTACGAATTACTTAAAAAAATGTATTCTATTTTTAAGTATGTCACAAAAATATACTATATAGCCCGTGATCATAATAAAGACAAAACGGTGTATTTTTTGGTCAAAATTTACATAATTTGAAAGAAAAGTAATAACATTGCCTTCTTATTTAAATGACTGTACATTGCCACTATAATAATAATAAAATCGTTTATTGTTGCCACTGTAATACACAAAGCTGTATCGTAACAGACTTCCTATGATTTTAAGCTGTTATGGTACGATGTTACACAACAGGCTAGATTCCGCAAAATTGTTATTTTCGTGAACTCAAATAAATAAAAAAAATGTTTGTTTCTTCTCTAAACATCGCAAGTAATTATATTCAATTGTTCTCCTTATTTACCCTTTTTTTCATTGATTAAATTCTTCAGCCATGGCAAGCGGCGACGAACAGAACGCTACTTCCAATCTCTCTCCGCGAGATATTTTCGAGATTCAACAAACTTGGAAGCCGTTGTATGCCGATGCTGGTAACTATGGAGTCGAATTGTTTAAAAGGTATTTAAGCTGTGTACTAGTTAATGAATATTAAGTAGGTATACCTATCACAAGCTGGAAACATAATTTTGAGAATTTTGTTGCTCTTAAAAATCTTTCGGCTTTTATTGAACAGATTTCGTTTCATTTGTCCGAAAACACGGTAAGGTTTTTTTATTACACTATTTAAGATTTTACTATTTCGTTTTCTGATTTTCATTTCCCCAACATTCCGTTTGAGTAATGTACCGAAATGAATATTTTGTTTTTATACAAGAAATTATATCCACAATACATTTTTTATGGTTTTGCTTTACCTCGGATTTAATTTAATGTTATTGTTACAGATAAACCATAAATGAAGCTTATTAATTATAAATGAGGTTAAAGTTGTTATTAAATATTCCGATAATAATTTTAAACATGTGCGGAAATGCAAACAAATTCATTTCTGGCTGCATTTTCATAATAAACTAACCTAACTTAACCTAGTAAAGGGGGGCACACCCACGCTTGACCCTGCCCACGGATTGTACTTTTGCATTAATTTGCTATGTCTATGTAATTTTATCTGAGAATCATAATTTTATCAAATCGAAAATATTTATAAAATTTTTACACTTGAAAACGTCATTTGTTAAGCTACGGCTCCTTCACTGTACTTGACTTCCGTGAGAAGAACGAGTACGAAACTCTAGGGATTGCTCTTTTCAAATAAAGTTACACACTATGGAATACCTACACCTTGAATAATATTTGTCAGGAATGTAGATTCATGCCATCTTTCAATATATCTTTATCTAACACGTAGTCTTCAATTTTGTATTATGCCTTTTCAATTGAAATACTTTTGATGTAAAGTTTAAACTTAGGAAATAATAATAATAATAAATGTTTATTTCAGTAGTACAATCAACTTTACATTAACAGTGGATGGTACCTCCTATTAAGTTTATCAAGCCTGTGTCAGAAGGCTCCGCTCTTCCATAACTATAAATGCATATTTAACATTTTTAAGTTATACTTAATGTAGTGTTTAATTTTTCCATTTCCAAAAATCGACAAAAAGAAAAGAAACAATTTCATTTTTAACAATTTTCAATTTTCTTAACTTTTAATTTTAAATTTAATTTGAATCCTAAAACGTATGTGTGTGCATTTGTATATGAAAAAGTATGTGTGTGTGCGTGGGTGTGGGTGTGTTTGTGTGTGTGTGTGTGTGTGTGTGTGTGTGTGTGTGTGTGTGTGTGT